TATTGTATAAGCTTACTTGTTTTAAATTTTCTCCTAATATATTTAAAGCTTCTTGTATACTTAAATTAATAATATGCATAAAATATTTTAATAAAAACCAATTATAAGAATATATTAGTAGATTAAAAAATCTTTAATAAGAATATAATTTAAAAAATATTATAGATTGACAATTCAAGTAATAAAAAAGTATTCTTAATTTATTTTTGTAATATGTATCTTATTATTAAGTAAGATTTAAATAATTTTAATTTACAATTATTTAATAATTCATAAATTTATAAATAATATAAATATTGTATATATATATTTATTTATTTAAATTATTCTTAAGCATGATTTTTTATTACAATAATTTCTTTGCAAAATCATATTATCCATAAAATTTAAAAATATTTGATACAAGAAAATATTTTTATAATAATTATTAAATCTTAAAAAATAATAATTAAAATATCTTATATATTTAAAAAAGAACTTATTATAATTGAAAGTGATAGTATTTTATAAATCTATAGAAAAATAGGTAAATTGTTTTAGAATATGAAAAAAAGGTTTTCAATTATGATGTTATATTGATATCAATTATAATTATTTTTAAAAAATAAATAAAATCAATAAATCCTTTTTTGACTTTTTAAAAATATTATGAAATATTGATATAAGAATAAAAGAAGATAACTTATTATATTTTTAAAAATCAATTACTTGTGAAATTAAGTACTCAAAATCAGTTTCAATATATATTTTAATATTTAGATATTATGATAATTTCATATATCAAATTTAATAGGATAGTTAATAAACAATGTTAAAAGTATTTTTCTTATTCATATTATTTTACACTATTGAACTTTGAAATATCAAATCTATTAAAACTTACTTTTCTCATTCTTTTTCTCTCTCTTTTTTTTCTTAGTGAATAAATAAAGTTCCACTGAAATTTATTAGAATGTTATGTTGTGAACTATTGATATACTGCAATTCTGTCCATCAAGGGCTATCTATATACTGTAAGAGATCATTCTATTGATGCATGTTATGTTTGCAGTTTTGATCAGGTCAATTCATTAATACTGTAACAAGAATAACAAGAATAATGTGTAGCAACAGCAAGGATGATAACAATAAGATAGGTTGCATAGTTGTTTCCACGCATCTGACTTACAGGTTCATTTATATGGTGCTCTTGGCAATTTAACCAATGGATTAAGATCTGATGGACTTAGTAGTTGCATATGGATTTTTTTTTCTAATCAGACATTCTAGTATACTGGATTCGTCAGTGCGTAAACAAATTTTAAATGTAAATAAAATGTAAATAAACGTAAATATACAGTATATACAGTGTATATATTTGTTTATGGTAATACCGGATGAATAGAATCTATCGATAGGTTTATTTTTAAACCCAAAGAATTCTTTTCGACGTTGTGTCAACGAAAGTTACCCTTTCAACAAAAAAACAATCATTTTAGAACGAAGGTATCGGCGAATCTATTTTTAGCACACCTCATATAACGTATAAGCCGGGTCCCCGTGTCGTTAATAAAGAATTTTATTGTATTCGTTTGCATACACCATATTGGTATGTTGGTGCGTGTATAATAATAATATATCGCGTAATACGCGGAAATTCCATACGTTGCAATTCAGGTCATTCTAATTCGTTAAATTCGTTAGCGACAATTTGAATGCAAATAAAATTAATTGGGAGGCACAAAGAGTTGACTTGGCAGTAAGCGAGAATTGGTTAGTCTCGTTGGGGGCGATTCGTTTGACAATCTAACATCGGATTTTAAAAATCGATTCCACGATAAATCATGATTTCATAATGACCTATGATCTATTGAAATTTAATTGTGAAATGGATGGATAAACCTAAGAGCAAATAAATAAACCGCATGAAGGCCAATATTTGTGTGCAGATGAAATATTAAACGACAAAGAAGGTGTTTATTATCAATCCCGAAATGGTGTTCTCATTTGTTTCTAATGAATTCGTCCATCCCAGAGTGTTGACAATCGCTGTTTATCGCTGTAGCTTTTTCCGTGTTTATATTGATGGAGTTTTTGGTGTGGAATGTTGAAAAACAAAGCTCGGACACTTTTATCTTGCCCAAATTCATTTTGAAAATGAGAGGACAATTAGGCAAGGGTGCCGAGAATGAAATGTTATTTTTTAAAAAAAGAGGCATTATATTATTTCATTTGGTACGACGTTGATATCTTGAAATCAACACGACCAGCTGTCAAAAAAGAAATTGCACAAGAACAAGAAATCAATCGAAATTGATGTAATATTTTGACACCTGTAATAATCAAGTATATGCTACTACGGTCATGACGCAGGTTTCTCCTTTGTATTGTCTAGCGCTCTCCGTGTTACATAATTGGCAAAATAAAACGGGTTATAGTTAACGATTGTGTTTTATAGTTTCACTCCTTCATTTGAAATTATTAATTCCCTTTTTTCTTTTTTTTTTTCCTTTCAACAAAGTATCCCTACTTTCCCACCATTCATGCATCTGCATTGACAAAACAAATAGTTGTAAATCGTTATTTTCGTTGATTTTCGCCTAAAAATTTTTTTCTGACGGGTGAAATACATGAGATTTTTTCTTCCGGTAGAGAATGCTCATAAAAAATCTCAGTTGCAAACTTCTATGAATCATGTGTCTCGGGTAACATACATTGCACCCAAAAAAGATCATAGTATCAATAATTCAGGATAAATTGCTATTTTGTTTGTGTTTTCCATTTGTTTACCTGTCACAACCAAAAAGACGACAGTCGTGAATCTTCGGGATTGGTCCAAAGAAAAAATGTGGCGACATTCCAATCATTTGATAATTTATTCCGAAATTATTTCTTTTTAGTTACATGAATTCTTTAATTTTTGTTCGTCACATTATTCGCTTTGCCAGTTTCGTACTAGTTTCATTTAATGAGCGAATAACAAATGTCACATTTTTGGCACGGTTTAATCACATGGTTACCTCGTCATCACCGTGCTTGTCACTCCCCTATTCCTTTTTCCTTCTCGTTCATAGTGCTTTCCCCCAAAACGAAAAAAAAAACAATAATAAACAAGAAATAAACTTGGATTGTTTAATGAGAGGAAGAGACTTGTCAAGAATGTGTGTTGCATTGTTGCACCGCATCTGATTTCTAATCATGCACGCTTTCTTCTTGCGTGCGCATCATTATATCAGCAGAGTTTTATGATACGTACATACCAGTTACCGACCTCGAACAAATATTCGATTCACCGTTATGCACGTTATACTATACACACGACTCATACATCCTGAAAATCGTCTTCTTCGGGGATAGGGAATATAAGTTGTTATATCCGGTTGGGCAAGATCGTCACCGAAATTTTACAATGACGAAATCATGCTTGGGAACAACACGAACGGACACAACACACCGCACGCAAACCATTGTGTGTATGCGTCAGGTGAATGGATGAACGGACTGATCTTACGAAGAATGAATCAAGGATTAAGAATAAATGTATTTTTTTTTTTTTTTTTCCTGCATTCATCGTAAAGAAAGAAAACCATTACGCATTATCTCCACGAGATCTATCAACAGCTCCACAACATGCAATCCGTCCTGACACAGGAATCGATTAAAGTTTACCGAGAATCATGACTGATATTCAGATAGTGCCTGGAAGAGGAAAGGATCCTTGCCGTCAAAGAAAAAATATTATATAATATGGGAGGTGTGAAACGGTGTTGTATATAGAGAATTCTTGTGTACAATAGGATCGCCGGAGATGTGGAACACGCGCATACGGTCATGCGCGCGTGAGTGGTTGCATGGATTACAAAGTGTTCCGAGTTTTCTTTTTTCTTTTTCTTTTTTTTTTTTATTCATTCATTCATTCATTTAATATACAGTATACGTATATATATTATTATTATTGACGCATAAAGTTTTCGCCGAGAAGAGAAAAAAAAAAAAATGATCATTTTGAATGAATGCCTAGTGTTTGGGGATAAAGTATCTTGCCATTGATTATTTGCATTTATCGTCGTCATCATGAAAATCATGAATTTACTGTATCTTAGACTCTATCAGAAATAAACTTTATACAATATGGTGCTAATGACTTGCCACATAAAGGTGTCGTATAACAGGTTATGCCAACAAGTTCGCATGCATGCTCTGCCACAAAAGTCAAGAGTTGTTATCACACGAGCAAATGGATGGTCGAAGTTGGAAAGATCATCAAAGGCGTCAAATGTCATTCGGCACGTTATTTTCCTTCTTTAGTAGATTATAATAATCGAGCATTTGAAAAAAAAAAAGCAAACTTTTCATACGATCTGGGAATTCGCGAAATGGCAGTTGAAAATTTATTTGTATTGCAGACCGACGTTGACAACACGTCAATAATGGATGATTTAGAAAGAAATTTTAATTATGCTTGTCGATGTCGCATTCTCGAAAAAAATTCGGCAAAAAGGGTTTTCTTTTTTCTTTTCTTTTCTTTTCTTTTTTTTTTTTTTTTGCGTTAGAGTGCTCGCGCCAATCCCTCATAGGGGAAGAAGAAGAGAATCAAACAAATAAAAACACGAGATCATTTTTTCGTCAATCACAATTTTGAATACACGTGTTATGCCGTATATCGTTAAATTTTTTATTTTGGGCTTATCTGTAAAGATATGTATGATAACGACGACAGTTATTTCTAATCCGCACCTGATTCGATGATGGCTTATCATCCGTTTCCACCTGATCAATCTTTTCATCCCGGGGAAACAATAGATCCCGGTTATTTTATTTTTTGTCGAATCGGCGGCACACAACAGGCAACCAATACGCACGCACGCACCTCCGCGATCTAATCATTTTAACCGTCAAAAATTTCTCCACATGTTTTATCGTTATTAATTGCATTGATCCTTTTCCGTATTGATGCAATTTATTTAAGACTTCTATCTTTACACTCTTGCCGAAAAATTGTTTCCGAAACGGAGCTATTGTTTGTTCCCCAATTTAAAGTTAACTTTTCAACCGAATAAAGAGACCAAATTTTGTACATCCTGTATATATTTGGCCTGCATAGGTTCTCCAAGTTTCATGTGTGCGAGATCAAAACTGAGATTCGAAGAGGTCGTCGGTCCACACTGTTTTGAACTCAATGAATGCAAATAGTCGAACGTTCGTGCGCATCACGCGAGTTCAATGTTAAATGAACTATATATTTTATGAATCTTGAGCATTCCTCTCGTGTAACCGTGGCACGAAAATTGAATGTATGCTCAATTATGCCTAATAAGAAGCTGATTGACAAAGTATTTTCCACGATGCTCTTTGTGTATTTTAGTGCATCATGTGTCTCTGTTAGCTTCAATTTTCATATGAAAAGAAGAAAAAAAAAGCTCGCGATGAAAAGCCGATTGATGCACCGTGACCCTTGCTTAGAAAAAAGAATTCGACTTTTTTGACGATACCGGTTGTTTGTCCTTTTCATCTTCTATATGTCACACGTAACGTAACGTAATGCGTACGTACGCACGTACAGTACGTACATTACATTAACCTCGGAAATATTTCAGCGAACGGAAAATTCTTAGGCATCAAAAAAAAAAAAAAAAAGAAAAGAAAATAATAATAATGGTGACAATAATATAATAACAACAATAATAACATAATAATAATGATGGTGATGATAACAATAAGAATAAATATAAAAGTTAACAAGGGACTTGCGTCAATATGCATACATGCATGCATGTTTGTTTTTGCATAATGCTTGCATTATGCTCATTCAAAAATACTCTTTATTGTGATTCGACATCACCATTCACGTGCGGAAACTTAACTCTATACGAGGGCACCCTGCGCTTCTCTCTACCAAACATCGACATCACGATCATGATTAATCCCTTCTTCCAATTTCGTAATATGCCGGCTGCGAGAGGATAGAAGATAAGCGACAATAAGAATTCGATGTCATTGGCCTGTGAAGGGCATTCAACATGGTAAGCACCTGCGAAATGACCATTGCATGTAAATGCAGGCTTACTCATCAAACGCGTGTTAGTCGATTGGTTCGATTTGTCCGAACTTAATGAAGAGATCCATTTAAAAAAAAAAAAAAAAAAAGAATAAAAATTCTTTTTGGTAATAAAAAAAGGGGCGTTGTCATAGACACATGCATTCACGTCTCTTCGGATAATTAACCTATGGAAATTGTCAGATGGTGAGACGTCAGTGTGTGGTAAATGTTCAATGAGGAAGACCAGTGGTAACTATGGGAATTCATCATCGGCGTCCTTGCAACCGCAAATTTCTCATTTCTCATCGGCCCAATTATACGCAGACGTCGACGTCGTGCGAAGGTAACCTCGATTTATTCGTATAACCGCATGGATAAATATTCTGGAATCGAAAAATTTTTTCCGCCGTACACTCCTGCGTTCCACAAACACCCTGCCGTTGAAACCCTCGGCTCGAAGGAATGTTACTGTGGAAGAAGTTTGGCAAACAATTTAGACGCACAAGAAGTATTGAAGGTGCTTCACTCCTACATCACAAAGATACCTTGACTGTACTGTACATGCCACGTTGACCATTGTTCAATTTCCATCACACGTGCTGTACATCTTCTTCGCAATGTTAACATTGAAGTGAAAATCAGGTTCGCCCATTTCTTATTTTACAAGATGAATGAATAGAAGGATCTTTTTTTCATTAATCAATTTTTTGAAAAAAAAAGGGGGGGGGATAAAAGAAGAGAAGAGAACGAAGTAAAAATGAAGTGAAATAAAAATAATAAATAATAAAAATAAAGTGATAAGATAAAATAAAAATAAAGATAATAAAAATAGAAGCCTGACCATTGTTAAGTGAACGCCAGTTTTGAAAAGAAAATGTACGCAGAATTTCGTTTTATGGCGGAGGGGAGGGGGTTCAAGTCTAACCAAGGTTGTTTTGACTTGCAGAGAATAATGAATCGACACTTTGAAACAACGAATGTTACATTAGCGTATCTGACATGCGATGCGCTAAACTCATTCATTATCTAATGAACCTTTTGAGCAATTCATCTTAGCGTTAATTAAAGAAGCGCATCTTGTCAAAGTTTCGTGCATGTTTGCAGACGATCCAATGGACGAGCGATCCAAACGATATACAGTATGTACATTTACAGTAATTAATTACGTTCCAATGACCTGACGGCTTATTGGAATTCGTTAGAAATCATCTAAACCTCATTTGAACCTGCTTGCATGGTGACATTTGGTAAGAGCGATCCACCACCTCCGCCTTGAGTCAATTATTCTAATTAATCCGTAGACGGTGAGGAAAACTCGAACGGAATTTCTTATTATTTATGCCTTTATTTATTAAAAACTGGGTGAATTTATTATAATTAGGCAATCCTGATCGTAGATTTCTTTATTTGTTAAGGTGGCTGAGAATAAACCGGTGTGATGGGAACGTGGAGTATGAAAATGGTCGAAGAGATAAAGAAAGGAAAAATTTTTTTTTTTTTTTTTTTTTTTTTTTTTTTTTTTCAGTCAGAGATAACAGAACACCAAACGCGAGATTAGATAACTCTGATTAATCAACGTACGCAAATACTTGTAACTCCTACAAACAATAGATTATCCTATTGGAGGATGGTCTGCAGGAATTTGATAAGAATGGAAGGCGCAGTAGCGATGAGATAACAGCAAACAACAACAACAAAGAAAAAAAGGTTGCATGGCCCGAAATCCCTGAATGGATGAAACTCAACAATAAGCTATGCGCGTACACGCATAAAGGTCATTCCCTCGTGCAATCTGAGATTGGTGTACTTGTAATTTGTGACGTTGGTGGTCGTTAAAAATCCCGATAGAGATAATCATTCAAAACGAAGTTTGTACAGGTTGACACCTTCATTCAAGTCAAAAACGGAAGAAAAACGTGTCCGATAACGCAAAAAAAAAATAAAACAATAAAATAAAAAGATAAAGTAAAAAACGCGCTTCACATTAAGAGTGTTTGTTGACACGTCATTCAGAATAATCTTAATTTATCGAAATCTTCCGAACATGCATGAACCCTTAATTAGCTAATCAGCCTAATTAGGTCATCTCTTAATGATAAGGTCCAGCGGGTTACAATATAATACGTATGTCAGACCGTGAGATCTAGATTGCAACGGCGAATCTTATGTTTCGAAGAATGGGTTCGAAAAGAATAAGTAATCGCAACGATTTGCCACGGGAGTGGAAGGTTGCGATCATGAACGGATACAGCCGAGCACATTTTTCACATGATAAGCTCGTGCATGTACTGATGTATTAGACCGGGAGGTGAGGTGTGATTTTTTTTGTCTGCGCAAAAAAAAAAATAAAAAAAATAAAAATAAAAAAAAAATAAAAAAATAAAAAAAAAAATAAAACCCAATAAAACCGTACGAACCCTTTCCTTCCATTCATCTCCCAAAGAGTCTGACGCGTGACTCGCAATTTTTCTTTTCTTTGTCTTTCTTTTTACGTCGCCGAGATCAAACGTGTGCGCAGCGCAACGTCCAACCTCCAAGCTCCATCAGATATCGGTAGCATCGTCCGAGAGCGCATTGAAACAAGGCAGTCTTGGCAATTCCAACAAACATTGTGTCCCCAGAGATTTGTTGAAATTTCGGAGATGATGATAATTATCCGAAAGTGGAAAGTAATAAATATGGTTGGTTGTCGTAAATTGAGACACGTTATTATTACAAAAAGGTCAACAGAGATGCATGTGAATTGGAAGAGCATAACACTCATCAAGTTCATTGAGAAATTTTATTTTATTTTATTTTATCTTGTCCCCCGACTTTCCGAGCAAAATAGGCAACTCATGTAAAAGTCTCCTTGGCTATCTAAATGGTCTCCCATTCGCCACCAACCGACCAAGCCTTTCTCCCTTTAATTATCAAGGATCGACTTTGGGCCCCCGGGGCAAGAAAGCACGGCATGGAGGTTGTTTGGACGTCGCCGTTGCGTGAATGCCATTTAATCAATTGATCAATCATTAATTGTGGGATAGTAAGAGTGTCGTGTGTTTGCATTTTTGTTTGTGTTTATTTGATCTGTTGAAGTTACATTCTACACAATGTGAACATGCATCCTGCTGAGCTGGTCTAACCAAATGAATGCATGATGCGTCGAGGTGGTAGGAAAAAACTTGTATTTTTTGTTTTTATTGTATGGATTTTCTATTATTCAGACTGAATTAAATTGGTGAATGAAGGGGATGTGTTTTTTAATCATTACACCAAAACCATATATTTATATTAAAAGAAATTGAAAGGACGCGTGAATAAGAGGTATAACTTTATTTATTCATATATTATTATTCAATGTAGTAAATAGTGTGTAATTTAAACAAAGAAAAAAAAAATTTTTTTTAATTAATTAATATAAATATAAATATAAATATACACCATTTGGCCATACTGTAGTCCACATAAAAACCTTCTTGTAAACAAAATCTTGTCTGACAGAATATAAAAAAAAATAAAGAAAGAAAAGAAAGAAGCGAAAAAAAAAAAAAAAAAAAAAAACATCGCCAACGAAAGTGGCATCTTCGAGTGTTACATCCGTAAATTTCAGGTTAGAAAACTTTTTTTTTTTTTTTTCCTGCTCTTTGAGATACACCGCGGTGAATCAAACCAAAGCCGACATTATTTTCTTTCAGTCTTCATGCGACTTCTTTCTAACCAACCACTCATGCGTCTTTTTTTTTTTTTTTTTTTTCGACCTAAATTTTTTTTTATATAAAGGTCAGACAAATGCTATTTTCCAAAATTTATTTTCAGGTCAGAAAATGATATGTCCTGAAGAATAAATAAACTACCTGCATATTTCAGTTTGATGTGTGTAGCTTTTTTTAAATTTCTTACACATTACAGTTGATGTTCTTCCATCTTCCATTCTTCATCTCCATATGTGTATGTAGTAATTTCTCGTCCACAAGAAAAAAAAGTTTTTTTTTTATTACTGACTCGGAGCAGACCACACTCAAACACCCTCCCTCCCTCCAGATCATACCATCTCACTCAACAAAACCCCACCTTTTTTTTTTTTTGAGCCCCCCAAAATTTTCACTCGACTCTCAAGTTATAAAAGATACTGTATACTAAAAATCTTTTTACATTCATCATTATTCAATTTTTTTTTTTTTTTTTTTTTTTTGTCCCAATAAATAATCCCCTTTAATTTTTGAGTTTTTCGGGTCATATACTCGCGAGATTCTTATATATATATATATATATATATATATATACATACTTATACTTATATATATATATATATTATTAACAAAAAAAAAAAAAAAAAAATCTTGACAAGAAATTTCAAGACAAAAAAAAAAAAAAACAAGAATATATATATTTATATATATTTATTTATCTATATACACCATAAATAAAACGGGTGAATATAATTTATTTGTCAACGATATCGAAAGGACAATTGCAAGAAACTCTTGAACGGAATGATAGCGATGCAAAATCAGCCTCCCTCTTTTGTCCATCAACGTCAAAACCCCGATATCCTTGAAGGCATCACGAACGTCAGTGCCGTTGCATCAAGTAATCGTAACACCTTTGCTCATTCCTCCAACGCTTTTCACACCAATGACAACTTCATTGACACTATCATCCCTTTTCCCACCATTCAAGGAAATCCGAGTGAACAACAGTTGTTGGCTCGACGTCAGTCAGCATTAGCCCAGTCGGCATCGCGGCAGAAGTACCCCCTCCGGACCTCTGCCAGCATGGAGACGTGCCGTCACAACAACTCAATCCTAAATCCGACCTCAACGTCAGCGACCCAACAACGTCTTTCCTCATCGAACAAAAATTGCAACAACGCTTCGAGTAGTATTAAAAACGACAACAACGATAGCAACACCGACCATAATAGCATTAATGTCAAAAATAAAAATAGGGAACGAGGCGGTATCATCGGTGGCAGAGTGTCCATGGCCCGTGAGGCCATAACCAGGTGGAGGAATGAACATTCCGAAAACCCATCAATGGAAGCATCTATAAACATCCGAGAGTACAAGCTCGAGAAACCTTTGGTTTCCTGCGATCAAGATGATGAACAGAAGGAAGACTACTTGGGTGCCTCAAAGTGGAGATTCTTCACGAAAGCGAAAAATGCTGTGCCGGACGGAGTAAGGCTCGAAAACATTTCCTGGCGCCTGATGGCAATCGCCAGGAACAGATCACTCAGGAGAGAATCAAATGAGGCCATTTCCGATCAATTGAACCATTTTACGGTCGCAGATGAGAAGGAGGATCCCATTCGACGAAATCGGTGTTCCGCCGCCGCAAACTCCAAGGGTTTGTCAAAGTTCACGGAGATCACGTAAGTCATCGAATGATCATTGAACGAAAATTGGAGTGGGGGTGAGGTGACCTAATGCTAACTGTGTGGCGTCTTGTCATTCCACGTCCAAAGGAAATCCCGTATGTTGAAACTTGAAAACTCGGAACCTTCAATATTTGACGTGGAGATGGACGAAAACTTTGCACATCAAGAGATCCCCGATAACCTCAATCGCTTGGCTCACGACATGGATCAAGAAAAATTCGAGATGTTCTTGGACGAACAGCATCACCTGGTGGCATCTCCATCCGACACCAGCACAAGCAACACCGACGATAACCTTTCCGCTTACGCATCCTCACCCTCTCCCGTACTCACCTCCATCTCCTCAGCCATCCCGATACCTTCCACCTCCACCACCAATCCCAACAACAACTATGACACCACTTCCGCCAAGTCCGGTGATTTTCCTTTTAACTTTGGTGCAACCGCCGAAGAATTCCATTCACAGTATGCGAACGGTCGAAGAGGTTTCGCAAATCCCGCAAAACCCCAGAGTCACATGATCCGCCCTGTGGCAATACCACGACAAAACTTTGGCGGTCCGTTCAGTCCTCACGGCTCGTCGACGTTTAAGAAGGTGGGTGTTGGTGTTGTGGTTATTCTTTTCGTCGTTGTTATTTTGCTGTTGTTGCCGTCATCATCCGGGAGTCGATGACCCCGTGCGCATTCATCGTGTCATGTTTTTACTCATCCTCCGATCTCAACCCATTCATTGGTCTCACTTAGCCATCGAAACGACAAAACTTCAAACCAGTGTCACAACTCTCAAGCATAACAATACCGAATGACACAGCCGACGATTCGGACGTGGATTCCGTGTCCTCATCTGCCACGACCACCTCACCAAATCAATACGCGTTCAACACATACGTCAATTATTCGACGATGAGCTCCTCGGCTCCAACATACCAATTTCAAAACTTTGGTGACCTCGCGAGTCCCGACGGAATGAACAATCCAAATCCCATGCAGTACCATCAGTCAACTGGTAGTACACCTCTGTCGCCGGCCGATAACCCGGGATATTTCTACGGTCTAAATAACGCCAACGGCAATTCATTCGATCTGGTCAAAATTTTTTGCCCTCAGTCCTTTGAACTGATGCCGGCGGATGGAAACAAGGAAAAAGGAACAATAGAGTATGGTCAATCGTCATCCTTGGGTGATTGGGCGGGAGCAGGCGGCAGTGAAGACGGTGGGGAGGACGTTGGAACCGTTGGTATCAATAACATCAACAACAATAGTGCTGCAAAGACGAAAAGACAATCAATGTATGGTTCATCTGCAAGCGGTGTCGGACACGAGAACAATTCGCCACTGGCATCACCGTTATTACATAACGGTGAGGTCGCCGGTTTGAGCACACCTTCGTCGCACACGATGGCGGGCAAGAGACCGAGGTCTTCTTCGCGTGCATCGATAACGACCATGGCCACCAGCGATTCATCAAAACTTGCATCCAACAACAATAACAGCAGTGGCAGTAGCAGTAATAGTAACAATAGTAATAATGGTACAACCGCCTGCACCTCGGCGACAGCATCAACGGCAACGACATCAACCCCATCCTCGCCGTCAATTCGCAAGGATGGCCTGAACGGCGTCGGCAACAATGGTAACGGCAGTGGCGGCGGTTCGTCGTCCAAGAGTGCAGTGCCAACGACATGCACAAACTGTTATACGCAAAAAACACCACTGTGGCGTCGTAACCCCGAGGGTCAACCTTTGTGTAACGCGTGCGGTTTGTTCCTGAAACTTCATGGTAAGGTGAGACCGTTGAGCTTAAAGACGGACGTCATCAAGAAACGTAATCGCGGTGGAGCTGCGACGGCCGGTAAGAATTCGACAAAGGGCGTCAAGGGTACGGTGCAACTTGGGGCCGGTGCGAGCATGAGCGTCATGGGCAAGAGGGTTTCGCAATCAAATTCGATGACTTCACGATCGCATCTTGGAAACTCTTCAAACTCCGTTTCGGTATTATCAACGTCGGCACCCACGAACGCCCAATTCACATTCAACGCCAGTCAACACGTGATGCCAAAGAGGCAGAGGAGATTTTCGAGTGACGAACAACAAATTTTGCTCGGCGGAGATCAATCGCAAGGTTACGGATTGATAAAGAGTCCCGTTGGTTCGCTCGCCTCTTCCAACGATGCCCAACTGATGATGGCAATGGCTTCCACCGCCCCCCCTCCTCACCCCAATACCAACTCATTCCAGCAAACACCGCCCTCCGCTCCGGCAGACGCGATAACATCAGGTAAAACCCATTCACGGTATCGGTCGCACACCACCTCATCAGTGCTATCAAATGCCACATCACAACCGTCATCGAACGGCGTCGATGGCGCAAACTCCGCATCGTCGACGAGGTCTTCACATTTTCAGATCAATCCACAGTTGATGATATACGCCTGGCCCGACGGGCAAATAGTGCAATCACTGGCGGGTGAGGAGGATGATATAATTATACCTTCGAATGGCGGTTTCGGCGGGTCGGATGCGGCTATGGATCTGGATTCGATGTTCATTCTCTAGAGAAGACAAACATTAAAAAAAAAAAAAAAAAAAAAAAAAAAAAACAAAAAAAAAAAAAAAAAAAAAAAAAAAAAAAAAAAAAAAAAAAAAA